CCCCCTGAATGCCCTGCAGCCGCCATGCAAATCTTCATCCAGATGCCGGCAGGTGTGTGAGACAGGGGCGCCTCAATCCTGGTCGCCCGCGGTCGCCGCCCGCTGGGCCGCCCCGCCTCTCGTCCAGTTTACTCCACGCCTTTCGCCCGCCTACCCTTCAAGCGCAGGCGGAACTGTCACACTGGAAGTGGAGGCCAGCGACACGATCGAGAACGTGAAGGCAAAGATAGAACTGGTGGAGGATGAGCCGGTGGCGGCCGCCACCAATACTATTATAGTAGTACCCGACGCAGCTCCAGTTACCAGTTACCTTCATGGCAGCATCCCAACTACTAACTAGCTGCTCACACTCTGGAGCCAATCCTTGCCGCAAGAGCAGATGCAGGTGTGAGCCATGCCTGCTGTGTGTTGCGCCCGTACCCTGCAGGCATCCCACCCGAGGATCAGATCCTCGAGTTTGCTGGCAGCGTGCTGGAGGATGGGCGCACCCTTGTCAGACTACAACATCCAGAAGGAGTCCACCCTGAACCTGTCGCTTGTGTAAGGGAGGGCCGCGGCACGGTGATGGGTGTGCATGTGCCTGCGTGTTTGCGGTGTTTGCGGTGGTGGGCGAGGCCGCGAGGGTGCGACAGGCAGCGGCGTCGCCAGGAGTGCAGGAGTCTCAGCTGCTTGATCATGATGCCTGGCCGCCGCCCGCCTGCCCTCTCGCAGGGCTGCCTGCGCCGCAGCGAGTGGGCAGTGCAGCATGCCCACGGCCGCGCCGCTGCCGCCCGAGGCCTGCGTGGCCGACGGCCTGGCCTGGAGCGGGAGCGTGAAGAGCTGCTGCAGCGGCTATGCGTTTGGCGAATGGTGCACGTGCGTGCCGGTGGGCGGCTCGGTGGCGCAGGACAGCATTGGTGTCGAGTGCTGCTCCCGGCAGGCCCAGGCTGGCACATGCGAAGCCGGCGCTGGGTAACTCGCCTCCAGTGGAGCCAAGTCAAGTCAATCGTGGGCGGCAACGCATCGAGCCAGCACACGCTGTGCACCAGATTCGAAAAGTTTCTTAGAGACTAACCAAATTGCTTATGTACTAATAATAAGTTCACAGGTCTGCTCTGGCGTGTCGGATGCGTGGTGGCGGGCGGCAACGGCAGGCGATCCCCGGGGAGCCTCACAAAGTCTGCAGCACCGACCCTGCTGTCTCGGTGCCTTTTTCTGGATGCCAGTCATCGATGTAGATGATCAGCTGATCCGCAATGCAACGGCGTCCGCCGACCACCGGAGCCCAACAGGTGCTATGAAGACAACCCCCCATTTCTCAAACTTCCAAGCATCTCCTTACCCGGGGTGAACTACAACTTTGAATCATTGAAAGCAAACACGCACCGGAGTAGAGCAAACAAAAGTTCGTCACCAGGTGACCCACCACGCAGAATACGCTGCCTGCCGGTCATACCCTCCACGTATATATATGTGGACTATATAGTCCTCCACTGTAGTTGGTGGAGCGGCGGGAGGCAGCGATGCCGAAAGCCCAGCGTCCGTATGGGCGTCACCTTGCCCGCATACACGTAAACCGCCGCCGCCCAGCCCTCTGCGCCTCAAACGAGCGCAAACAAAGCAATTGGGCGGCGCCGGCAAGGAACCGGCAATGTGGCTCTTCGCCGCCGCCGCCGCCAGACGCCTGCCGCCGCCCCTTGGCGACCAACAGGGCGACCTGCAGCCGCGCTGGGCAGCCGCAGCAGCGATGCTGAGCCTGCCAGCCGTATCTGCCTGATTGCAGGCGAACAGGCGCAATGGTCAGCACCGTGCACGCCGATTTGCTGCTGCGGCGAGCAGCCTGCCTGCTAGCCGTCCTTCTCCTCTTGGGTGAGTGCGCCTGAACAGCCGCTGCCTGCCGTCCGCTGGATGCGTTGCTCACCTGCCACAGCGCCGCTCCAAGGCATGCTGCAAGCAGGATGTGCCATCTGCTGCATTCATCCCCCATCCACCATGCCTCCATGGCTGCTGACACCCCGCTCCCAATGCTGCGTCAGGGCTAGCGCCGGCAGCAGAGGCGCAATACGCCAGCGCGGCTGCCGCCCGCGCTGGCGGCGTCTGCAGGCACGGTTGCTTCTGCGCCCCCGGCAAGAACCCGGTCTGCCACCGTGACTTTGTGACCAACCCGCCCAAGAATGTGAGATCAGCGGGCGGGCCTTGCTCGGCCCTGTGCCTGGCATGCGCCACCCGCCCGCCACCCATCGCGGCCCTGCCTCCGGCACTCACCTCTCTCCCCATGCCCCGTTCGCTGTCGTTCCCTGTCTTCCTCCTGCTGCAGGCCATCCTCGTCTCCTCCCCCCAACCCTTCTGCAATGCTCTGGAGCTGGAGCTCTTGGCGCTCGGCACCCGCAAGAAGTGTGCCACGTAAGTAGGCCGCACAACAGCCGCTGCTGCTGCTGCATGGGCCTGCCTGGCATGGCTGCCGCTGCAGAGGCTGCGCCTGCCTAGCAGCGCCCCACACGCCAGCCGCTGCATGTTGGGCTTGAGCCGCCGGTGCCATCCTCACTGCAGCGGCGCATCAAGCAGTGCTGCAGCATGGGGCAGGAGGGGCGGTGGTGGGCTGCCTTGAATAGCGCACGCCGAATTGCATGCTGATCAGTTGCTCGCCCGGCCTTGCTGCAGCACCCGGGGGCGGCTGATGGACTGCATGCGCCAGCGCATAGATCCTCAGACGCCTAAGCACATCTGCGACTTCCACCCCTCCCTGAGCGCCGCCGCCTGCGCGTGCCCCGCCAAGGCCAAGCTGTGCCCCCAGCTGCGCCGCCTCAGCACCGCCGCCTTTGGGCCCTACATCCCCGATGAGGTGGAGCGGCTGATGGGGTGCGCGCCCCGCGCCATGAGCGCCGCCGCAGCCGAGGGAGAGCCGCCCAGGATTGCGTCGGGAGATATCTGCGCTGGGTACGCGCCACAGGTGGGCCTCGGGGGTGGCCCATCAGCTGCCAGGTGGTGCATGTGTGTGTGTGTGTGTGTGTTGTGTGCCAGACAGGTGCGGGGCATCTAGGTGGTCCCTGCGGCGGAGTGGGGCAACCGGAGGCAAGCCGAGCGCCTGCCCGGCTGTGAGCACGCGCCAGCAGCTAGCCCGGCTGGCACACACGCCACGTCGCGCCATTGGCGCATGCCGGGCCCCCCTCCACTCCCTGCAGGTCAACTCCATCATGAAGCCGGTGCTTGCCAAGTTCTGGCCCGACGTCAGCGCACACATCCCCGACCCGTTCAGGCGCGTGCCTGCCGCGGGGGAAGGCGGGGCGACGTGGGTGCCTCAAAGGAGTCCAGTGGCGTGCCTCAAAGGAGTCCAGCCCCGGCTGTGGCCCCTGCTGCCAGCCCCTTGCCCAGAAATTGCACGCATGCTCGCACACACAACCCATTCCCGACCCCAGCCAGCCAGTCCTCTGTGGCCCTGCTCCAACACCCACGCTCCGCCTGCTGCCTCCCCGGCGCGGACACTCATCCACAGCTTCCGCAGCAAACTCATTCACAGCTGCCTGCCTGCCTCCTGGCCCCCTGCAGGCTGATTGACAGCACGGGGTCTTCGTTTGAGGACATCGACATTGGGCCCTACTGGATGAGGGGCAAGATGGGGCTGGACGAGCTCAAGGTGGGTTGAGCTCAAGGTGCCACGTGCCACACCAGGGAACAGGGGGAGCTTTGCGGGGAGCTTCGCGGGGAGGCGACCAGCTGGCCAGCCCTTCGCCGCCACCTGCACCCGCCCTCCTCTCCCCCTGCTTCCGAGCGTGTGTGCAGGGCCTGAAGCGCATCGTGCTGCCCACTTTGGAGATCACGGAGGTGATGCAGTGCGCCAACCTGAGCGCCATCCAGGTGGGGCGCGGCGCAGCGCAGCACAGCACAGCACAATGCCATGCTGGTGCCATGCTGGTGCATGGTGCCGCCCATGCCCCCGCCGGTGCCACTGCCCTTGCCCCGCCTCTGCAGACCCGCATCAAGCTGTCCACCGAAACGACCGACCTGTCCATCTGGGGCGGCCTGGGCCTCTACTTTCACTCCTCCTTCTGGCCCAACTTCAACACCGAGGCCTCCCTGAAGGTCACCTCCCGCAAGGCGCGGGTCACCATGCTGGTGACCACCAACGCGGGCCTCATTCCTTGTGAGGCTGTGGCTGGCTGAGTGTGCTGGGCCGTGCTGCGCTGTGCTGTGATGTGCTGTGCTGTGCTGGCCGCATGGCTGGATGCCCCTGGCTGGCAGGCTGGCTGGTGCTGGCTGCCTGGCTGGCCGCGTGCGGCGCGGCAGCGTGTGACTGCCGCAGAGGCTGGCGGCGGGCCACCGGGCGCCGCTGCCGTGGCTGCCCGCCCCTCCCACGCTCACTCCAGCTGCGCGCTCGCTAGGGCCAACCGTTCCTTTCCGCCTGTGCCGCTGCAACAGCCGCCACCGGGCTGCAGGCGGTCGCCGCCGTCACTTCCATCGATGAGCTGAAGCTGGAGCTGGGTGATGTCGACTTTTGTGAGCAGCCCGCCCCGCCCGCCCCGCCCCCACATGGCTGCCGCAGCTGCGGGCGGGCTCGCCGCTCTGCTTGCCCTGCGCGCCTGCAGCTGCCCCCTCCATGCCAGCCGGCCTGGCATTTGGCAGCGCCTTGCTCGCCAGCGGCCCCTCGCCGTGGCGCTGCTGCGTGGTGGGGCCTCCCCACGCCAGTCTGGCTTCGCTCAGCACGGCGGCTTGCGGGGGCTTGCGGGCCAGCAGCCGAGCTGAACCCCAACATCTGCTTGCCTGTGCGTGCAGCGGTCAACTTCCCATTCCTCATCGGCGGCCTCTTCTCATGGTGGGTGCCGGCCCGCCGCTGCTGCCGCCGAGCTGCAGCTGCCGAGATGCCTGCGCGCGCTGCCACGATACCTTGCTGGCTTGCGGGCAGGCAGCCCTCTGATCTGCCTCGCCGCCGCTGTCTCCACGACCTGCGCTGAGAGTCGCCGTGCGGTGGTGCCGCTGGCCCTGCCGCTGCCACCCTGTAGGGTGCTCGACTATGCTGTGGCGGGGGCGCTCAAGACTGTGCGCTCCCTGTGGGTCACCATGGACGAATACCTGTCGGAACAGCTGCTGCAGCTCGTGTTCCGGCCCTCGCTTATGAAGTACATGCAGGCGGCGGTACAGGTGGTGTGAGTGGGACCCTTCCCACCTGCCCCTCCCCATCACCGGCCAGCCCGCCGCCACCAAGCACGCACGCCGCCACGATCCTCACCATGATAGCCTCCCAACATCTGATGCTGCATGCCAGGCCCACACGGCGGCAGCGCTGTAGGCTGTATCGACATGGATCAAGCCTGAGCTGTGTGCCTGTTCGCCTCCCTGCATGCTACACTGACAGGTGTGCGTGTGCACGGCGATGCTGTTGATTAAACCGCAGCCCTCGACAGCATGCGCATGAGCAGAATAGCAGGCAGATAATCAGAACGCGAGCGGAAGTGACCTTGAAAACACTGGCGGCACGAGACTCGGGGCTGCAGCAGGCAGTGCCAGGATGCGCCCGCTCAGCTCTGCCGGCAGGGATGGCATGCCCCGCTTCGCTCCCGCCAGGCTCAACGCCACTGCCCGCAGCCGCATGCGCTGGTCCTTCCCCAGCCGCCCCACCAGCCACCCCGCCTCTGCAGTCGGATCGCTCCAGGACGGCTGGCAGCGCTCGAGCCAGGTCGGGGCAGGGCGCAGGAATTGAGTGCCACTGCTTCCGGCTGAGCCTCAGGCGAGTCCCCAGATCGGCAAAGAGGCACGCAGAGCGCTGCTGTACTGCAGCAGGATCTTCAGGGCTGGCTGCGCCGCTGGTGCTGCCCGCCCCAGGCAGCGGGCCGTCTCCAAGACTTGCTGTTCTGTGCGCCAGAAGCCATAGTCCGGCACCTGGTCCAGCGGCCAATGCAGGGGTGTGTCACCAACTTCATCCTGTGCAAAAGCCAGCTCTGGCGCCACCTCCACTGGCAGCAGCAGCTGCATACCTGCTGTTTTGCAGCGGCAGGCGGCGCGGTGAATGGGGGCCCGCTTGATTGCGTTGGGCATTGTGGCTGCAGCGGGTGCTGCCGACAGCAGCAGTCTCTCCACTTCAATGTTCTGACAGCCAGCAGCATGGTGCAGCGGTGTGTAGCCGACACTGTCCACTGCCATGGCTGTGGCTGGGGCAGCCTCCAGCAGAAGCCTCACCACCCCCGGATGGCGGCGCCAGCTGGCCTAGTGCAGCGACAGCCTGCCGTTCACGTCGTATCGATCCGCCCGAGCGCCTCCCGCCAGCAGCCGCCGCACCGCCGCCTCGTCGCTGTCGAGAACTGCATGAACAAGCAGGCTTCCCATCATACGGTGGCGCATCGGCAGAAGTCTCAAGTCCACCAGTCTTAAGTCTACTTAAGAGTGGTGCCAGCGGCGGCGACCGCAGGATCCATCCCCGGGGCGCTTCACAACGCCTGCAGATTGGTGCCCTTCTCTGCATATCGATCATCGATGTCGGATCTGGCGGTGAGCATGCTGTCCACAATGGCGTCTGCCACCCAGGACGCGTCCGGACGCTCATACCCCAAACATGTGCTTCCGAAGACGCCACTCCCCATTCATCAGCATCAAATCACCAAATACATGCGCTGTCACCCGCGGTGAAGCAAACACTCGACGGAAAAGAGCACACCTTTCACCACCAGGTGATCAACACACAGAGTGGGCCTTCGTTCCGCTCGCATTGCTTGACGCAGAGGCGGGACGCATCGATGCCGACAGCCCAGCGCCTGGATACCCAGCTTCGTGAACCACGGTGCATCCCATGGCCAGCGCTGGCCAACGCTCACGTGCCCTACAAATGAAACGCCGGCACCCAGCCCTCAACGTCATAACCGCGCGCAAACGCTTATCGGGCAGCGCCGGCAAGAAACCGGCGATGTGACTCCTCGGCGCCACCGCCGTACACCACCCACCCGCTGGCGGAAACCAGGGCACTGCAGCCTGGCAACCGCACTAGCGATGATGAGCCTGCCTGCCTCGTCTCCCTGAGCGCAGGTGCACCGGCGCAATGGTCAGGTCCGTGCACAACTATCCGCTGTGGCCAGCAGCCTGTCTGCTAGCCGCGGTTCTCCTCGTGGGTGAGAGCGCCTCAGCAGCGCGCTGCCTGCTACCTCCTGTACGCTTGATGCGCTGCCCGCCAGTCACAGCGCCGCTGCAAGGCACGCTGCAAGCAGGGTGCGCCATCTGCTGCGTTCATCTCCCATCCAACATGCCACCCCATGCAGCGCCGGTCGCAGAGGCGCAGTACGCCAGCGCAGCGGCGGCCCGCACTGGCGGCGTCTGCAGGCATGGCTGCTTCTGCGCCCCCGGCAAGAACCCGGTCTGCCACCGCGACTTTGTGACCAACCCGCCCAAGAATGTGAGATCAGCGAGATGGCCTTGCTTGGTCCTGTGCTTTTCATGCCCCACCCGCCCGCCTGCCATCCCCGACCTGCCTCTGACACTCCCCATACCTTGTTCCCTGCCGTTCCTTCCCTTTCTCCTGCTGCAGGCCATCCTCATCTCCTCCCCCCAGCTCTTCTGTAATGCTCTGGAGCTGGAGCTCCTGGCGCTGGGCACCAGGCAGAAGTGTGCCACGTGAGCAGGCTGTGCAGATGGCACTGCTAGTGTTGCACCCCACACACTTGGCTGTGCCGCCGGTGCCACCCTCTTGGAAGCAATGCCTCAAGACGGAGCATGGGGGCCGGAGGGGCGGTGCTCTGCACTATTTACCTTTACCTTTATCTGCAGCCTTGTTTAGTGCAGCCCGGAATGCACGCGTCCACGTTGCTCGTGCAACCTTGCTGCAGGACCCGCGGGCGGCTGATGGACTGCATGCGCCAGCGCATAGATCCTCGCCCTCTGACATCCAAGCGCATTTGTGACTTGCACCCCTCTCTGACCGCCGCCGCCTGCACCTGCCCCGGCAAGGACAAGCTGTGCCCCCAGTTGCGCCGCCTCAGAACCGCCGCCTTTGGGCTCTACATCCCAGATAAGGTCCATCAAGTGATGGGCTGCGTGCCCCCTGCAATAAGAGGTGAGGGCGAAGCGCCCAGGATTGCGTCGGGAGACATCTGCGCTGGCTACGGGCCGCAGGTGGGCATCCTGGCAATCGCCTGGTGGTGGTGATGGGTGTGTGTTTGTGGTCCAAACAGGCAAACAGATGAGGGTGTGTAGACGGTCAGTGCGGCGGGGTGGGGCAACGGAAGGCAAGCGGACCGGGGTACCTGGCTACGGACACACAGAAAACGCTTGCTCAGCTGGCGCACATGCCATGGACCCTCCTCAGACCAACCATCCCGCCCCACCCATACAGGTCAACTCCATCATGAAGCCGGTGCTTGCCAAGTTCTGGCCCGACGTCAGCTCACATATCCCCGACCCGTTCAGGCAAGAAATACAGAAAACACTCCCCTGCGTGTAAACTCATCCACAGCTGCCATTACCCTGCTTCTGCTTGCCGGGATTCCTGCAGCTTGATGAACATGGCGGGGTTTCCTATCAATGACATCGACATAGGGCCCTACTGGATGAGGGGAAAGCTGGGGCTGGACGACTTGAGGGTGGGTGCCCCTGGCTATATTAATGTGCCAGACCGGTGGTACCAGGGCACGAGGGGCAGGTGAAAAGCTGAAGGCGGCCAACCTCCCTGGGGGAGGTGACCGCCCACCAAGCTCCGCCGCCACCTTCACCCGCCCTCATCTTCCTGCTCCTATGCAAGTGTGCAGGGCCTGAAAAGCATCGCGCTGCCCACTGTGGAAATCACAAACGTGATCCAGTGCGCCAACCTGAGCGCCATCCAGGTGGGACACAGCTTGTGGTGCAAAAAGGCGGCGCGGGTCCAGAAGGTTCCGGCCGGCCTGTTTTGTCTTTCTGTGAGAGCGGGGAGCCTCGTGAGAGCGCTGGGGTGACTGCCGAGCGCTGGTCGCAGCGGCAGGATCCTTCTCCTTCTCCTTATTGGCCGCGGCTAAGAAAGGCCTTCTTTGAAGGCGCTGGAGCTAGTGTCTAAACCCTCCGAGAGGGCACAGGTTCGATTCCTCTCATGTCGAAACTTTGTGAGGACAAACGCGGCATAGCTGACCGGCTCAGCGCCAATCCAAGCCAATTCCTTCGGGAACGCCTAATAGAATCGCCAAGGCTTCGGCACAGGCCTCCCCGGGACCCATTCACTACTAGTGGGGGGTACTGCACTTGGCGCGTCGGGCAGATCAAATAATGGTCTACAGCTAGACGTTAAAACCGGGAAGTTAAGCTTGTGGAGGCTCTTCCCCACCTTTACCTTTTCCTTCGGGCGGGGCTGGGGCGGCGGTCGCCTGTTATTACACAGGGGCACTCCAGCACAAAGGGAGAGAAAAGATCATCTTGTCAGGGCATCGAGGCTCCTTATATAGTCTGGCTGCTAGCCAGCTGTCGGCAAAAAAACGAACGGGCGAGGGAAAATCTGTGACAGGTGGGTGAAAAGTCAGTCTGCTGATATGAAAATATCTGCAGGCTGTTTGAATATCCGCGGGCGCGCTTTGATTGATTCGATCTTTCCTGTGTTATTCCTGTGTTACAGTCACCCCGCTATGATAGGCCGCGTGAGCAGACCTTGGGCAGGGGGCACACGTGATCAAGGGGCATCAAGAGAGGGGGTGGACCATGGAGCACCCTCTCCATGGCTCCGACCACCCTCCCCCCAGCTGAGCGTCCCAGGGTCACCCCACCCTGGCCCCGCTCCCCGTCCTGCCGGACACGCAACCCCCACAACGTGGTGGGGGACGTGGGGATCCTTAGCAGCTTAGGCCTGCCAGGCCGACGGGTGCCGATGCTGGTGCGGGCTCCCGGCGGCAGGCAGCGCCGCCGCCGGGCACTCAAATGGCATGGGGCACATGGGCCCCCATGCCCGCACATCTCCCAGGCACATGAAAATACCAGAAGGCTGCACATGTAAGGGTGCATGCATTGCAGGCAGGAGTGCAAAGTGGCCTGCCGCGGCGGTCGGCTGTGCCATTACTCAGTCAGCCGCCGCTACCGTGCCGGGCTTGGCGTTCCCATGCCAACATGCCGGCGTGCCATCGCGCAAGGGGCCAGTGAGTGTGTGAGGTGGAAGTGGGGGTGGTGGGGCTGCCGCTGACCGTTGCTTGCTGACGCTGACGCTGCTCTTACCTGCGGGGGGAGGGGGGTGGGTCGGGAGCCAAGGCCGGGCAAAAGATGCCTGGGCCCTACTCAAGGGAACCGGGGGAGTCACTGTGCCAGGGCAGCAGCATGCTCCTCATGGCACCGGTCGGCAAACCGGGCCAGCCGGCCCTGCCTGGCCTGGCCGAGGAAGGCGGCCAGGGAGGGCAAGGCGTGGCCGGGACTGTGGAAGAGCTCAGCATAGGTAAAGGTAAAGGTAAAGGTGGGGAAGAGCCTCCACAAGCTTAACTTCCCGGTTTTAACGTCTAGCTTTAGACCATTATTTGATCTGCCCGACGCGCCAAGTGCAGTACCCCCCACTAGTAGTGAATGGGTCCCGGGGAGGCCTGTGCCGAAGCCTTGGCGATTCTATTAGGCGTTCCCAAAGGAATTGGCTTGGATTGGCGCTGAGCCGGTCAGCTATGCCGCGTTTGTCCTCACAAAGTTTCGACATGGGAGGAATCGAAGCTGTGCCCTCTCGGAGGGTTTAGACACTAGCTCCAGCGCCTTCAAAGAAGGCCTTTCTTAGCCGCGGCCAGCATACTCCTCCCTCAGCCCAGCGTATAGGGGGCAGTCATACACTGCGTGGCGTACGTCCTCTAGAGGGGCCTGGCAGTGGGGGCATGGGCGCTGGGTGCGGTCCAGCCGCTGCCACCGGCCTGTCTCCTCAGCCATCCAGTGCGACCCCGTGCGCCACTGCGCCAGGCGCACCCGGCGCCGGCGCTCGGGCACATCGCACAGGAACGACGCAGGCGTGTAGGCCTCCGCAGAGATGCTGCCCCCCCACACGTCCTCAATGTACCGCTGCACCTTGACGGATGCATGCGTGTACGAGGCAACATGGCGCTCCAGGAGCGCTTCCGCCAATTCAGGTATGGCGACCCCCTCGTCAGCAGTCAAGTCGCAGGGGGCGCCGGCCGCCGCGAGAACGCGGCTAACCTGCGCTGCCCAGGGCTGCCGGGCCAGTGGCAGCCCTGTGTCCGTGTCGGCAGCCAGCGCAACGCTATCCAGCATGGCAAGACGGGCGACCCGCTCGCCGCCCATAGCCTGCAGGTTGCTCACAAAGCGTGCAACCTGCAAGGTCCAGTAGGCGGGCAGCGGCAGCTGCCCCGTCTCTGCCAGCACAATGAGGGCTGGGGTGCTGTCCCGCACACCCAGCAGCCCTCGCAGGTACTCCAGCTGTACCCGCTCGCATGCCGTCCTGCCCTGCAGAATCAGCTGCGGCGCCCAGATCTCTGCCCCGTACGACAACGTCGGCAGGACGTAAGACTTGAACGCACGCATGCTGAGCAGGGGGTCCTGCAACCCATTCTCGGCCAGGCGGCGACGCAGCAGGTGCATCGCGCGCCGCCCAGCCTCCGCCCGATACGATGCCGCCGAGGCAAAGGCCTGCCGGCAGTGCAGGTGCACGCCGAGGTATCTGAAGGTGGGGACGGTTTCCACCTCATTGCCGCCGTAGCGGAACCGCTCCTCCGTGGCAGCAGCCCTGCCAGTGGTGTACACTACCACCTGGGTCTTTTTGGTGTTAACCGTCAGGCCC